ACGTTCCCACCCTACACGTTCGCACCCCACAAATTCGCCCCCTAGGTCCGTTCGCACCCTACACGTTCGCACCCTTGTTTTGATAAATTTTTAGATGTTTTGTAGATGTTTATATCAGAATATTTTTATTTTTATAAATAAAAATTCAGGAATTTTTAAATAAAATATTGTTTTAAATTGATTTGATGATTAATTATTAAATGTTAATTATGTATGATTACTGCTAATTGGTATTTATACTCAGCCTATAATTTGGTGTTATTGTTGAGTGTTTAAAAATCATGATTGTTGTCATGGTTGTTTTAACTTGCTTTGATGTAAATACTGCATGTATTTAGCTTGGTATGAGTAAAACTTTGAAGATTTTAAATATAAGATATGAAAGATAACTGTTTTAACAGCTTGGCTCCTTTGATCTCATGTGTGTCAGAATCTCACTATATTCATAAACAATGAAAAAAAAATATTTATAGCAATACACTATCCAAAACATGATTACGAATTATTCAACACATAAAAAAACACGTTGTCAGAATCCCAATTCCTTTTGAAACAATAAAAAAGAAATATTTATAGCAATACACTAACCAAAACATGATTAAGATTTTATCAACACATAAAATCAAAGCGCGAAAGCGCTGTAAAGGCAGTTAATTACAGGTTGTGTGTATTTTTAGTCCAGTTATAAACTTATCTTGCATAGTACAGTGTACTTATCAGAGGTGGCTTTCAGTATTTAAGATTTAGAGTTCTCAAATGATATTGAACAAGTTTTATGAATGTCATATTCTGAGCACTACATGTATATGAAGGTGATTGTTCTCAGTTGTTTATGAACTAGTGCATTATGTCCAGTTTGTACCTTTTTTTTATCTATGTTTATAGTCAAATACTGTTTAAAATAGTTAGGCATTTTCTGTTTAGTAATAAGTAAATGTTATCAACTGTATTTTATTCAACTTTGCAAATGTGGTTTGTTACTGGTAAGTATGGATGATAGTTGTTTCATTGGCAATCATAACACATCTCCTTATTTATTAAATGATCTATATTCAACGAACTCAGTTACAAAAAAATTTATGTAACTAAACTATGATGGGAAACCTTTCACTTCTTTCTTTTATATAAACTTTTGATTTGGTACCATAGAACTATGTAGAATAAATGTACATTGCAACATGTCAACTCTTTCAATGACAATACTTTTTTTAGAAACTATAACTACAAGCAAAATTATATTTCCAAGTATAAAGTAATTTATGAATGCAAAAAGGAGTTCTTAATTAAGAAATAAACTGATTCGCTGAGCGCAGCTGGATACACCGGCAGAGGTCCAACACTGAACAGTTGGGGCAAAAATGGACACAATATTCAATATTCTGATACAGGTCTAAATTTGGATTGTAATTAAATATTTGACATATTATAGTTTCTGAATAAATGTAGTCAAAGAACTTGAAATCGGTTATATGAATTGAATTTATATTCAATTAAAGATTTTTTGCTGTTGTGCAATACATTGTGCTGTTGCGCAATACTTAATAAATCTGTTGCCAGACTATAAACAAATAAAGTTCAATTTCTTCTCAATGTCATATTTGAAATTTTTGAAAATAAATAGGGAGATTACATCAACAGCTATAAATAATTCACCAAAGTTACATGCGAACTGCATAAAGCATTTTTGAGTTGTCCAAAAACTGGAAAATCACCCCTTTTTTAATGAATAATACCCCATAACTCAGAAATGTAAAATCTAAAATTTATAAAATTCTAAAGGGAGCTTACGGATTGATAATTTAGTCTTAGATGCAAGATTTTTTTATCAGTTGTTAGTGGCTTTGAACTAGCTGTCAGTAACTGCGAGTACTCTCAGATCTGTACTTAGTAAAATTGAGAATGGAAATGGGGAATGTGTCAAAGAGACAACAACCCGACCATAGAACAGACAACAGCAGAAGGTCACCAACAGGTCTTCAATGCAGCGAGAAATTCCCACACCCGGAGGCGTCCTTCAGCTGGCCCCTAAACAAATATATATACTAGTTCAGTGATAATGACCGCCATACTATACTCCAAATTGTACACAAGAAACTAAAATTAAAAATAATACAAGACTAACAAAGGCTAGAGGCTCCTGACTTGGGACAGGCGCAAAAATGCGGCGGGGTTAAACATGTTTATGAGATCTCAACCCTCCCCCTATACCTCTAGCCAATGTAGAAAAGTAAACGCATAACAATACGCACATTAAAATTCAGTTCAAGAGAAGTCCGAATCTGATGTCAGAAGATGTAACCAAAGAAAATAAACAAAATGACAATAATACATAAATAACAACAGACTACTAGCAGTTAACTGACATGCCAGCTCCAGACTTCAATTAAACTGATTGAAAGATTATGTCTTCATCATATGAATATCAGGCACAATCCTTCCCGTTAGGGGTTTAGTATCATACATCATAACATATATGAGAAGAACATAACCCGTGTCATGCCAACAACTGGTTTTTAAATAATTGTGTTTAGTGCCGATGCAAAGACCCTATAAGTGAATAAATATTAACACCAAAATATGCAATCTTTAATGACCTGACAACAGTATCGTAACTATATCCCTTCTTAATAAGTCTATTTAAAGGTTTTGTTAGCTTCAGAGGTGAATACTGACATTTTTGTGCTTTATAAAGAATATTTCCATAAAAAATTGGATGTGAAATACCTGAACGTATAAGAAGTCTGCATGTTGAGCTATATTTACGAATGATGTCCTTATACCGATGATAAAATTTAGTAAATGTTTTGACTAGTTTGTGATATCGAAAACCCTGATGTAATAATTTTTCAGTAATACATAAATTTCTCTCGTTAAAATCTAAAACATTGTTACATACACGAGCGAATCGTACAAGTTGAGATATATAAACACCGTAAGATGGTGACAAGGGAACGTCACCATCTAAAAATGGATAATTAACGATAGGAAATGAAAAATCATCTCTTTTATGATATATTTTAGTATTAAGCTTTCCATTAATGATATAGATATCAAGATCGAGGAAAGGGCAGTGGTCATTGTTAGTATTAGCTTTATTTAAAGTAAGTTCAACAGGATAAATTTCTTTAGTATACATACTGAAGTCGTCATTATTGAGAGCCAAAATATCATCCAAATATCTAAAAGTATTATTAAATTTGTGTATCAGATGTTGTTTCGATGGGTCTTTGCTGATTTTTGTCATAAATTGTAACTCATAGCAATACAAAAAAAGGTCCGCAATAAGTGGTGCACAGTTAGTCCCCATTGGAATTCCGATAACCTGACGATATACGGAATCTCCAAAGCGAACAAAAATGTTATCTAGTAAAAATTCAAGGGCATATATAGTATCAAAGCATGTCCAATTGACATAGTTTTTTTTGTTTATTGCTACTAAAAAATGACCTAAAAGAGTTTGAACATATATATTCACATTCTGACTTTTTAAATGCCCATTTAATTAGGTGTGTGAATTTTTTCTTAATGAGAATGTGAGGCAATGTGGTATATAGGGTAGAAAAATCAAAACTTTGAACAGATTCAAAATCACCAATATATGCATGTAATTTATCAAGTACTTCCAACGAGTTCTTGACACTCCAAAAGTAATTAATTCCATTATTTTCGAAGGCCTTATTTGAACAATTTATTATCAGGTTTTTGATTGTACCAAGTGTACTGGTAAGAAGAATAGACAATTTAGTAGTGGAACAATGGCTTGAAGACGAAATAAATCTATATTTATAAGGTGTTTTGTGTAGCTTCGGAAGCCAATACATAGTTGGGACTTTCATTGTATTTGGTTCTGCTTGTAAAGCGGCAGCTAAAAGTTTATGTTTGTTACAGATGTCGTTTTCTGAAAATGGAGTCAGTTGGAATGTTGGTGAATTGGTGATTTCTTTTTTCAGAACCTCAATGTAAAATTTACGTCAAACAATAATAATATTATTAGCAGCTTTATCGGCCGGGACAAAAACAAATTCCTTGGCTAGTTCTTTTAGTTTATGTTTGATACGAGAAATAGGTTTATTGTGGTTATTGTTAAGAGTAAAATGTTCTTTAAAATTAGTGTCTTTTTGTTGTTTGGATGTACATGTACAACTACCCGGCCACGTCCACTTGTATTTGACATGTATTTATCCATCTGATGAGTTAAGCCTCTTTCAACGGATTTTAATAGTACGTTCTTATATTGTACTGTTACACCACTGTCCCAGGTTAGGGGGAGGGTTGGGATCCCGCTAACATGTTTAACCCCGCCACATTCTGTATGTACATGTATGTGCCTGTCCCAAGTCAGGAGCCTGTAATTCAGTGGTTTTCGTTTGTTTATGTGTTGCATATTTGTTATTCGTTCATTTTTTGTACATAAATTAGGCCGTTAGTTTTCTTGTTTTCTTGTTTTACATTGTCATTTCGGGGCCTTTTATAGCTGACTGTGCAGTATGGGCTTTGCTCATTGTTGAAGGCCGTACTGTGACCTATAGCTGTTAATTTCTGTGTCATTTGGTCTCTTGTGGAGAGTTGTCTCATTGGCAATCATACCACATCTTCTTTTTTATATTTACATCAACAGATATAAACAATTCACCAAAGTCAAGGTGAGACAACAAAACTTAGTTGTAAGATCTCTGAAATTTTTTACACGGTACGAGTTTTTCTCATTGTTGGAGATTGTACAGTGACAGTAACACCTGTAACTGCTTAAACCCATTTCTTATGCACTTTGGTTCGATAAACTCACTGAATATCATACCACATCTCCTTATTTTTATATGCATTACAATTTACATGTGCATGTAATTGTAAATATATATATATATCAGAACAAAATTCATTGCGTCACTTTTATTTATGCATCCTTTGGCACAATACAAGTTCTAAAATTACACAACATAAAACAACTAAATGTTATTTCTGAAAAAATGCTAAATTTTCACAATGTTTCAGATGAAAGTTTTGTTTCAGTTCCATTCATTGGATTTATTAGAATTTTGTATGTTTTGCCAAGTCCAATAATTCGCTCTATGTGCACGTGTTAATGAGGGACTTTTCTATCCCGTATAAGAGTTTTGGAACTAATTCTGTTTCTTTTTTTGAAAAAAGTTAGCAAACAAATCTTGCACATTTAAACCTTTGTCTGCCATCACACTGTCACCTGGATCACATAATTGAACTATTCAACATCTTTCAACTATTTCACAGTCACTGGTACAACCAACATTTGCATTAGAGACATAGTTGACTAAACCACCAGGTGTCGAACATACAAGTATTTTCAGTGTTTCTGTTTTTATATGATGAAAAGGTTGCCTGAGCTCTAGGAGCTTTAGGTTTTATCACGGGATATTCTGTGCTGTCAATAATAATCCAAGTTGTAGGAAACTTTAATTTGAAGTTGGATGGCGAAAAATACCTGACTAAACCACTAGATGGCCAAGTGTTAGTCTCACACCACTGTTTAGACATAAAAACAATCCATGTATACACAATATTCTTAACACTAGATTCAATCTAGAATCTAGGCAGTTCAAAGTTGGTTGTATAATGCCTCAATTTCATCAAAGTCATAAAAAAAACTGATTTTCAACTGACACCCTATCAATTTGAAAATATATGTCTCTCAAACAATGTGCTGCTGGACCAAGTGTGTGCAAAACAAATAAAAATTTAGTATACAACTCTAAACCGGTATAAAATGCATGGCTGTGTCACATGTCTTCATTTCAAAATTCTCTGCTGAAAACATAGGCATTGATGGTGTTTGCGTAATTCCATCTTTGAAGCTCAACATTAGCTCGGCAGTTGGTGGTGGACAGTCATAAATCCTTTCTGCAGTATGAATGACTTCTTCAGGGAAACCAACTTTACAATCAAAACTTTCCTCTAGATTTCGACTACAATATTCATCAAGTTTAGTTCTTTGGTTTCCACAGGAAACTGCCCTGATTTTTCTTTTTGCGGACGATTCAGTCTCTTGCTTGGTCCAGGAAAATAGGCTGGGAATGGCAGTAGACTTAAGTCTCTGTAAGGTGGGTTTGCGCCCTGAAAAAGGTTATAAAACATTAGTTTTTTGATAATTAAATGAACATCAACTAGCAATGTATACTTCGTACTACATGTACTACCTGGCCAAATATTAACTTGATTTATTCATTACAATCTGGATAAAACTATGTTTGCCTGATTCAATGTATATTATGTAAATCCAAAGGACAAACAATGAGAGACTTATGCAACAAACGTACATTGTTTGTACCTAAATAACTATAATATAGATGAGAGCATGTCATTGTTTTGTTCCTGTTAACATTGTCATTGATATTTTTCAAGAAAGTCTATGAGGCATAGCTTATGCATTCCTGTCATTACTACATTAGCATAATTACTGCTAAAATAATTCTCAGTATGATATACCTCTTGTAAGAAATCACCAAAAAATCTCAAACAGATCACATTGAATCGTAATCCAAAAAATTCTGACGTCTTGAATTAACCACCCCCTTTTATTCTAAAACGATAATTGCGGTTGTTAACAGTCTTTGGTTTATTCGCATGGCGATTACATATATAACTATATATTTCAAAAAGAAAATAGAGTTTTACCATGAATAGTTTCCTGCACGTAGTCTTTTTCAGTAAAATGTGCCTTGCAAACAACAGCTGATTGAGATTTCATCGTGTTCTCGTCCAATCTGCGTATGGGCCATGGCGTTGATCCAACTTTTCCTTCTTTTTAAGTCATTTGGAAATGCATGTCCTCCTCTTAAATGACATCCAGGTACACAACAACAAGTACTTGGCATCGTTAATTAAAAATGTAACTCAGTGCAGAAACCGGAAGTTGAGGAACAGGATCGGCTACCACGGCGCCACCTATTCAGGAACGATAATTTGCTACTTTATATAACTGCGAAATAACAATAACGTTAGACGGGTTCACGTGCATAAACAGAAATGCGCTTTAAATTGTATAATATAATTCATGTTCAGTCGACCTTTAATTATTATATCAACGACTGAAATGATTTATAAACATCTAGATTGCAGATAACACTCGAAGTTAACCCGACCTCTTTCCACACGGAATTCAAATAATTCTAGTTTGCCAATCGGTTGACTGCTTATGATGCAAAATACAAATATATAAAAAGTTTTTAAAACTAACAAAACACAATTATCGTTTCTCTATTTCCCAATGTAAATGAAATGAAACAAAAAGCATTTTATATCACAATGAGGAGACTGGGAGAGAATTCAACATTTCCGGATCTACTTGGAGCCTAATGACCCCCCACGTAGATAAGTTGGATATCGCGGAAGGAATGTTTAACCCGGCAACCAGAAAGGTATTAAAGCACTGCCTTTAAAAACGTTGTCAGAATCTCACTTTATTTAGAAACAATGAAAAAATATATATTTATAGCAATATACTTACCAAAACTCGTTTACAAATTATTAAACACAAAACCAATAATAATTGGGCGCGAACGTGTAGGGTGCGAACGGACCTTGGGTGCGAACGTGTAGGGTGCCAAAGTGAAAGGGGGCGAACGTGCATGGGAGCGAACGTGACTGGGCGCGAACGGACCCGGATTCTCCAGCTTGAGGGGTCATTAAACAAACTATATAGTGCACTGAAACCCTTGCCCATAACTAAACCGTGATGCTTGGTGTTTGCTTCCTTGCACACACGCAACCATATTACTCACCTTGTTTGTTTTCTATTCTTCTAATTAGCTGTTTATCGGCAATTGTCTGTTTTGTTTACATCAGAAATCAATGAAGCGGTGAATGCGCGGGGAAACGAAAGGACATCTTCGTATCAATACGGTAAATTCCGTGATTTGAATATTTTCTAATCAATATGTTCAAGCAATGAAAATTATAAGGATAACATTTTTAATCATAGAGCACACGTTTTGTGTATTTACTTTTTAAAATTATAGTTTATGAAGAAATATAGCAAAATATGTTTCAATACGCACTATAAAGTGAAGATTAGATGTATTATTGTTTTGTTTTTGAAAGAACATTATTATCCATAAATACACACCTTTGAACCAAAATTGCAACACAATTTCAAGATAACATAAATTTCATCATCACAGAATGATATCATTTGCTCAAATTGACAGGGCTTCGTGAACTAAATTTGGCTTAAATTATGATAGCAATTGAACACTTCATTATAGTTTCTACCGATGACCTACTATCATGATTTTTATCCGACCCCACTTACGGACGCGTTGACATATAATGCATACAACTCAATAATAGCCAATCAGACGTTAAGATATCCTTCACTTCCCCCAGAAGCAGCCCGGAAGCAGCTGAGATGCAGCCATTTAATGTTATTTATAACCAATGAGATACCGTTAACAGATTTACCACATTCCAGACACCATGGTGATACGGTAACAAGACATATAAATCGATTATCTGAAGATAACTTGTACTTTTATTGAGTATAAATGTCTTAAACCTTATAATTGTATGCTGTTACACTAAGCAGTATAACACCATGTAAAATTATGTTTTCGGGACAAATCAATTTGTCCTTGGGATATTAATTTGTTCTTGCAATCCTCGGGAAATCGTGGTACCCCCGGAATTCCCGCGTAAATGCCATGTGTAAATCGGGATATATCATTTTCAGGGCTGTAATATAATAAGATATAAGACATAAAGGTTTATTTAGAGTCGGTATATACAATACAAGTACAAACATAAGCTCTGAAGAGCTTTTAAAACCGACAGAGCAACAAATAAAACAAAACATACATATCAAGTCATGCACACATAAATTAAACATATAAAGCAAGAGTTCATATCAGTATATAAACATGCAGCACAAAAGTTCTTAAAAGCATCTTATAAGTTAAACACACACTGAAACATGCACTTGTGAGATGAAAACACAAAAGCAAAATTAAATGGTGTGCACATTTAAAGCACATATAGATTAGTTAGTTACAAAAATTAGCACAAAGCAGCAGAAGCACTATAGTAAAGATAACAAAATAAAATTGCCATGCTGAAAATAAAGCATTAAACCAAAAATAATGAACAAAAATTAACTGGTTTTGCATAGCAGGCAAAACATTGGCATGAGCTGCCAGACCAAGAATTTATCAAGTTCTTGAATTGATTTAAATATGATTGCTTACGTAGCTCATCTGACAGCTCATTCCAAAGCTTAGCACCTGCATACCTAAAGATTGTAGGCCGTATGCAGTTCTTCTTACATGTGGTAGGTCGGCTGTATTCTGGTATCTGAAAGAGTAAGTGTTTTCCTTTAAGTGTATTAAATCATGGAGATAAACAGGACAATCTTTATTAATAATTTTGAAAACTTCAATAGCCAATGATCGCATTCTTCTTATTTTTAAAGATGGTAATTTTGATTTGCAGAGTAGATCTTCATAACTTGCTGAATAGTCTTCATAGATAAACCTTAGTGCTCTCTCTTGAATTTTCTCTATCTTTTTTGTATTAACCTCCCCACAAAAGTGCCAAACTAGTGGGCAGTAATTAAAGTTGGACATTATGAAAGAATAATAAATTGTTAATTTTCCGAGTTTAGTCAGGTGTTTTCCTATTCTTTTTAATACATTTAGCTGTTTGGATGCTTTTTTACATATTATAGAGACAAGTTCATTGAAATTTAGTTTAAAATCTATTGTTACGCCTAGAAGTTTAACGTTATCTTCACATTCTATTTCATTACCTTCTAATTTAAATTTTAGGTTTTTGTCTTTAGTTTTTTTACCTACAGCTATTGCTTGAAATTTTTCTGGATTAGCTTTCATTTTATTTATTGAGAACCAATTTATCAAAATTTTACTTTCATCTTCTAGAGTATTAATTAATTATCTAAATCTTTATCTGCGTATGAAAGGTTGTTGTCGTCTGCATAATTATAGAGTTCACTTTTATGAATACAATAGAAAATGTCATTTAAAAAGATATTAAATAATGTCGGCCCTAATATCGACCCTTTAAACATTGTTTGCCAGTAGCTTGAATTAGTACCTACTTTAACACACTGTTTTCTATTAGTTAAATAGCTTTCCAAAAGTTTAAGAGAAGAAGCGGAGACACCATAGGATTTTAATTTTAGTAGGAGGAGGTCTTGGGGTAGGCAGTCAAAACCCTTGGACAAGTCCATTAATACAGCTGCCACATATTTATTCTGATCTAAAGCATTTTTCCAATCTTCAATTATTTTTAATAAAGCGGTTTGGCATCCGTATCCTTTTCGAAAAGCTGACAGAAAAATGTAGAAAAATGAATTAAAATATTCCACAAGTTGATTTTCTATAGACCTCTCAAAATTTTTTGAAATCATGGGCAATATACTTACAGGTCTATGGTTTCCTTTATCTAGAGTGTTTGATTTTTTATGCAGAGGTATTACTTGTGCTTCTTTTAATTTATCTGGGAAAACAGCTGATTCAAATGATTTATTTATTAATTTAGAAATCATTGGATTGGATAGTTCAGATTCAGATAATTTTAATATTTTTAAGAGATTCCATCTTTTCCTGTTGCCTTTTTAATGTTAATTTTATTGATTTGTTTTTTAACAAAGAATTTACTGGGCTAAAACATAGTTCTTCTATTTCCGGTTGGTTTTCTTTTATAACTTTAATACTGGGATGGTGTTCATCGATGATAGTATCTTTTGAGCTGATAATCCAAATTTACGTCCATTAAATTACGATCTCAATGGAAGAAGTTCCCGCTGAAAGAACAATATATTTCACAGTACATATGCATTAATCCAAATTTACGTCCATTAAATAACGATCTTATGGAAATGTCATGTGCTAAACGGGATAGACCAAAAAGAATTTTAGGTGTATGTTGTCATTCACATCCTGATCAATGTACACAGTTAGATAAAATATATATGTAAACTTTATTTATATTGGTTTTCAATATAGTGACTTTATCAGAAAAAATATTTATTTCTCGCAGACAACGGTAAATAGTATACATTATCTTGACATGACATATGAAAACCCCTTAAGCATAATTGTGTATGGAATCGTCCATGGAATTGTCCAAACAGATACAGGTGAAATACGTAGAATCAAAATTGTGCACACAGAAATAAGATCAGAGATAAGGCCCATATAAGCCTTGTGTAAAGGTAAAAAAAAACTGAATAAAATCATTGTTTAATAAATTTGCTTGATTAACCTTGAAGTTAAGACTAATAACGATTACGTGTATCGAGTGAACTCCCTGAATAAAACATTACTGTGTTCTTGACGACTTCCGCGCGGGGTGGTCTGAATATCTAATATTTTATTATAGTGTATGTTAATTAAATAAGATAATAACATACACAGAAGTGTTAAGTGGTATGACATTAATAAACACGAACATGTATAATGTGTCTTTTGAGCTAAAATATAAACTTTAATCAGGCCGTCAGTTTTCACGTTTGTTTTACGTTTTCTATTTCGGTTGCCAGTTAAAGCTTACCATGCGGTATGGCTTTTGTTCATTATTGAAGGTCGTACAATGACCTATAGTTGCTAACTTCTACGTCATTTGGTCTCTGGTGGAGAGTTGTCTCATTGGCAATCATATACCATATCTTCTTATTTTTTCTATTACGACTTCTATCTTTTGTAAATTTTACTTCGATATAAAGGCTAGGGGAAAACTAAGCATACGAGAAATCTGTGTGCGTTCCTTAATCAAAATCAGTTAGAACTGAGAGCTGCAAGATCATTTTTATGCGCTTTTGTGTCATATTCATATTAACTGGGATCTTTTGTAACATCTTATGATTTGTTAGTTATTACATACAAGCACATGTGCAGTTAGGTAATGCAATTATGTATTTGTCGACATCAATCACAAAGATATTTGTTTGTAGTTTAACCCTATGGCTTAAAATAACCCAACTTTAAAAATACTGTTCTTGTGCATCACTTAGATAGATTGTTGTTGGTTAACTGGTGTAGTATCGTTGATTAGGTTGTTCGCTGCAAGACGTGAAAAAGGGGGGGTGCACAATGATAGTGAAAGTGATGAGGGGGTGGACAGGGAGGTACCCTTCTCCCACCTCCCGCCCCCTA